GGTTGTTTCTCGACTTGCCAGTCGAGTATGGCCCAGAGGTTTCTAATGGGGTTCATGTCAGGAGATTGACTCGGCCAGGGCAACTTCTGGATACCATCTTCTTCCTGCCACTTTTGGGTGTTTCTAGCAGTGTGACACGGTGCTCCCTCTTCCTGGAACAACGTTGTGTTCTTGTCCAGGAAACCCGAGGAATAAAGTAGCAAGAGTTCTTCCTCCAATATTTCGACGTATTTCGCAAAATTTATGTTGCCAATGCACTCCACTAAGCTCGATCTCCCACCAACCCAAACAGCTCCCCAAAACATCACGCTGAAACCACCATGCTTCACAGTTGGCTGCAATCTGTTGAGCCAAAACTCATGGTGAGGTATTCTCCAGACCCATATCCTTCCACTGTCCGAAAATTGAGCGAATCTTGATTCATCTGAGAACAATACGGTCTTCCAAAAGTTCAGAGGCTTGGTCATCATATCACTTGCCCACTTCTTTCGTCTGACTATGTTGGCAGGTCTTAATAAGGGCTTCCGTCTAGCTGCTCTGCAACGATAACCCAATCTGTGGAGAATTCGTTGAACAGATTTCAGGCTCATCCCACCAACTTTGACCACTTCTGCAGTCATTAATCTGGTATCCATTTTGATGCTCCTCTTGACAGCCCTTTTTGTCCTCTCTGATGGACCAGGTCGACCCGGACGCTGCCCAGTTGTTTCCTTGCTGTGTTTCTTGAACTGCACGATGATTCTGTTGACTGTCGAAAGCGGGATTCCCAAATTCTGCAAAATTTGCTGCCGACTTATTCCACCATCTGCTTGACCAGCTATCCTTCCTCTAACAAAATCTGACAATTCGAGAGAAACTCGAGTTCTAGGCATGTTGTAGTACAAGATAATTAGTGTGCACACCATTTTCATTTATATAGTGCTCTGTGAACACAAATTAGTTAGCATAAATCAGTTAAATGACGAAACATTAGGTGTCTATTTACTTGTGACCATTCAGTGTATATATATATGGGAATAAAATAATATATACACACATCTTAACACCTACTCCTACAGAAACGCACATTTTTTTTAAATGTTAGTCTAAAACTACAACATGTAAAATATGTATTAATACAATAATTTTCATTACCTTTGTAAAGAATCTAGGATTATCTTGTTGAATATCAATATCATCTTTAGACCAGGATGCTGTTGGTTTTGGGAAGCCAGTGAATGGAACATTGATGTCAAACTCCTGACCTGCCTTGATCACAATGTCCTTCACAGCTCCTGCATTAATTCTTGGTTTGTCTGAAAACAAACATTATGAAAAATAATTAAGTATGAGATAAGCTGATGTTTTTCAGATTATTATAATACATATATATACACACACACACACTTTCTATCTATTTGGTTTGGTTTGAATTTTGCACAAAGCTACACAAGAGCTATGTGTGTTAGCCATCCTTAATTTAGCAGTGAAAGACTACAGGAAAGGCAGCTAGTCATCACCACCCACTGCCAACTCTTGGGTTACTATTTTACCATCAGATAGTGGGATTGAATGTCACATTATAATGCCCCACAGCTGAAATGGCAAGCATGTTTGGTGGGATGGTGATTCAAACCTTTGATCCTCAGATTGAAATTCGAGCTAACCCTAACCACGTCATGCCTGTTCTATCTGTAAAACTTATTATAAATTAATATAAACACATTTTTAAGAGTATAACTTTTTAAACTCCAATGTGAAAAAAATATAAGAGAAGTACAGCATTAACTTTTTAATAGTTTTAATATGCATTTTGTGCAATCATTATCACACATTATTTTATTGGACTTTAAAACAACATTTCAGTTGAAACATATTTTTTTTAAAGATTAAAATAAATATTCGTATTTCATTTTAAAAAACTGCATCGTATTTCTGTAATTTTCTCAAAGTCTTATTGTAATACAACATGCTTTCAGTTTAAGCATCTGCAGTGTTTAAATCATAAAAGTTTGACAGGTACCCACATCTCACAATTGATATATAAATTCTCTTGAGTTTATCCCAATATTATTAGGAGATAAAATCATTAATATTATTTTTCCCTAAACAACTGGATTTGAATCAGTATACTCTGGAAAGCTTACCATCTACTAAAGTACATAAACCTTTGATTATTTATGCTGCATTTGTAGCCACTAACTTGTAATTTATTTTCATTCAGACTGATTCAACTGAGCATTTCTGTGTTCCAAGATTCACAAATTATTCCACTCTCCTACTTTTTTTTCCTATGTAGATTATAATCATTTATAAAATATTTTTTCAAAAATTAATCTACTTTATCAAAACTCTTTTAAGCTATATTGGCAAGCTCATTCTAAAGCCTAAAGTCTTACCAGGTTGTTCCTCAATAAGTATCATAGGACAAGGCTTACTGGGAAGACTTAAACCAACATCATTAACAGCTATGACTCGGAATTCATACTCATCTCCCTCTGTGAGGCTTGGGATCTATAATGTGAAATTTAAATGGTAATAAAAATTACAGCAACAAATTACAGAAATTAAACCAATAATTTGTCAATAATTATAAGTCAATAATTACAGAAAAAAGCAAAAATAATTAAGAATTTAATATCAGCAATAATTATAGCATCTTGAGTAATGGATAAAATTTTAATTTCCCTGTCAAGCATTTCTTACATTAATTAAGCTTTTATATATTATATTATATCTATATAGCACAGTTACTCTTGAGAGACAAAACATATTTCTCTACCAAATATTTTATTTAACATCTTACTGTGTATGATGTGTCAGGATGTGGAAAACCATTAACAGGTTCCCATTCTTTAGAGTCTTTAGGTCTCTTCTCAATAAGGTAGCCACGGATCTTGCTTCCACCATCAGGTGGTTTATTCCAGGACAAAGTTGCAGAGTTCTTAGTTATCTTGTCAACATGGGGTGCATCAGGAGCTTCAGGTGCAACTACAACATAAAAATAAAAAATCAATACACTGGCTGTTAGTCTCTTCACCTTTATTATTGTTGTTTTAAAAACATTGTAATAATAAAGTATTAAATTTAAATAAAATACCATTGAAAGCTTGAAAACATCTAGAAATTAGTTTAGAAATATGGAATTCATGCTTCATTATATGTTTCAATAACTTTGTTAATAAAATGTAACACATAACAAAACATCATATAAAAATGTGACATTAAATTTTTCAATTATCTAATTTTAATATATAAAATATATAATATATATATAATATATAAATCTAATTTTAATGCAGATTTAAAGAAAGATTTGTTCATTTACCACACTTTTTAATAAGTAAAGCAATAAATATCACACTCTCAAACACAAAAATTTCCTTATAGTATCTGAGCACTTTAATTTTCTCAATTGATTGTTTTGTCATTAAGTACAAAGCTCCACAATGGGTTATCTGTGCTATGCACACCACAGGGATCAAACCCCGAATTGTAGCACTAAAAGCTCTCAAGTTTATCACTGAGTTTGAATATTAAATCCAGACAATGCAATGAATATCAGTAATTTTGAGTTTTAAATTTGAATCATGAACAAAAACAAAACATATTTTTGAAATTTAGTTCAAACAGTAATAATGATAATCATATACAAGGATCAGAAGTGACAATAAACAAAACATACATCGTCTTTCTTTGGCTGTAACAGGCTGACAAGGTTTGCTAGGTTTTCCAGGTCCTCCCTCATTTACAGCAATGACACGGAATTCATATGTCTGACCTTCTTTTAAGTTTGGTACAGTAAATTCAGTATCAGGTAGGGGAGAAGAGGTAACTCGGGACCACTCTGGATATCCAGTTTCTCGCTTTTCTATCAGGTAGCCTAGTTAAAAAAAAATAATACATCAATACTTTTTTATATTCAGGTTAATGTATAACCTACAGACTCTTACTGTTGTTTATAAATTATATGTAATTTATTTTCTTGAGGAATATTACATGACAAGAACATGATAAATAAACAACCTTTTTTCAGAACTCTTTGTCATCATTGACAACAAAATAAGTTGTATAAGTGCAAGTTATAACAATGAGTGAGCAGTTAAAAGACTGAATGAGAAACAGAATAATATGCAATGTTCTAAAAAAACAGTGAATTTCACATATAAATTTCTTGATATTAACAAAAATGAGTATATGCATGTTTAAAATAAATATTTCCTTATCTCACTGTTGAATTTACTTTGTTAAGCCATTGCTATTTTATATTATAAACGTGAGTTAGCAAAAGATTGAAATTAATCAAACATTTCTTGGGTAGAACTCCCTTTTACATTCAAGCAGGTGATCTATTTAACTAATAATCAATATTGGTTTCCATGGTTTTTCTCTTTAAACATAACTCATATAGAATACAATATGTCTTATAGAAAAACATTAATTTTACAACTTAGAAATATTGTTTTTATAAAAGGATATCAAAGCATAAAATGGTGTGTGCTTTACAAGATCCAAAATCACATGGTTGAAGTGGGAGTTATTATAATTGATTATTCAAACAATATTTCATAAAGTTTATAAAAAGTGTAACTAAGCATTATAGTTTATATCAACAAGAGTAAAATTTACAGTTTCATTTCCACATATGTTTTGATGCACACTTACAAGAGTAGAGTATTGACTATAACACCAGATTCTTTTTACACAGAGAAATGAAAAAAAAAAGCTGCTTGTAATAAATTAGTTTTAGAACAATTATTTCTAATTACTTCAACTGGTTATCACTACTTTTTATGCTGTACCTTTGACAGGTTTTCCTCCATCATGAAGTGGTGGTGTCCAAGAAAGGCTAACAAATGTTGGCCCATAGTCATTAACAATTGGCTGACTAGGAGCATCTGGAGTTTCTATTGTCAATAGAAAAAAGAATAACCATGATTTATAATGAACATTTGGTATTTAGAAAACACAACTACATTGTGAAATACTGTAATATCTAACCTGATGATTCATTTTATATTTCTATCTTAGTTCCTAAGAAGGAATAAAATAAAATATTACCAAAAACTTACCAATCCGAGATATTAAGGGAATACTAGAAACATATTTCGGGAATTTTTGTGATGCCAACTCAAAATTGGAAGCAGACATGTTGATATTTAAATTTATTATCTCCAACTAAAACTTGAATCTATTAGTTAGTGTAAAAGGTATTGGGTGAAAATTGGTACATTTATCTTTTGAAATAATATAATTACGTAGCTCATTTTTTTATTTAAGGAATTATCCTTAATTGCACTTTTACTTATAAAAAAAATCCTCAGTCCTACTTTAGCATGTAGAGACTGCTTTTTTAAAACCTTTATTTTTTTTTCACATACCAAAAGGATTTTTAGCTGCAACTGGTTTTCCCTCTAGGGGTTCACTAACACCATACATATTTTCAGCTTTCACCCGGAACTTGTACTGATTTCCTTCCACCAAGTCTTTGACTGTGTATGTAGTGGTAGAACAGTAGGCTCCAACAGAAGCCCACTTGTCAGAGCCAAAGTCACACTTCTCAATAATATATCCTACAAAAGTTACAAGAGACATTTTATACAGCACACATCACTGATAAACTAATTAGGAAACACAGAAAAAACTAAACAATGTCACAACAATTCTAAAAAAATTAAGAATCTTTTTTTTTTACTTATTAAACAAAAAACTATATTATAAATTTTTTATAACAGTTCTAGCTAAAATGTTTTAACAATCAGATCCTACAAAATAAAGTACCAAATGTTGATGGAAAACAAAACTGAAACACTCAAAGGTTAAAAAGTCTTATAATTTCAAAAACATATACTGCTCCCATTCTAAACAAACATGTTGCATGTACCATTTACTAGATGAACAAACATTACAATATAGCTGAAATTTAGTTTTTATCAGGTTCAAAATCATTGTTTACACCTGTTTTCAATATTTTTGTTGAGTAATACAAGTGTTTTTAATCAAAAGGAGACTTATGATAAATAATTTTTACAAAATAATTTTACAAAAATCACCAATGTCAAAACCTTATAAAAAAAAAGACACTGTAAGAAGATGCATCAAAGAAAAATGTATGCAGTTATAATAATACTTATAAGGTCACCCTTTATTGCTCTTAGATATCTTACAGCTTGAAATTTTTGCAACTAAACAAGTTTTTCTTTAAATGTATGAACTTACCACATTTTATGCCAGTTTCTGCTTTTCTTGGATTTTACGTAACTTTAAAGTACATTTATTTCCATAGTTGAATTTCACGATGGTAAATGTGAAAATATTACACACTAAATGACAAAAAAAAAATATTTTATGCCTCTGCACATGTGCGTTTTTACCTGTAATATCTGATCCACCATTGTCCTCTGGTGGACGCCACTTGAGAGTGACAGTGGCACTTGTAGCAGCTGGATACTCAAAAGGTTCCTGAGGTGGACTAGGTTTATCTGTGGGGATGAATTAAAAACCAGAACAGCTTTAATAATATAACAGCAGTAAACTACTTGCTCTCAGTTACCTCAGTGGACATTGGATTTATTACTGGAACAAAATCTATATTATTACATATATAGATATAAAACTGTTATATACTAAGACTAGATAAACATACAATTGCTCTCTCTCTCTTTATATATATACATATATACACACACACACACAAAGCTAAGTTAGTTTTATTACAAAATACATAAATAGCAAAATTATTGGTAAATATGAAACAAAACATATATTAAAATTCTTTATAAAAAAATCTGTGGAGTGACCAATACAGTAACTGATAGGTCATAAGCTTAAAACAACTTGGACACAAATTAAAAAAAAATACACAATATTAATGATGAATGAAAATCAAAATACAATGAAATCAGGTTCAGATATAATCCACAGGTTCGATGACGAGGAACCCACTTTGAGACATGATGTCATGATGATGACAAAACCTTGTTGAAATGTTGTACATTTGCTGTTATGTTAAACTTATATTAAAGTGTTTCTTCATTACCCTTTCAAGCCTTCTCCAGCCATTATTAATCCACAGATTGTTTAAAACAGGTTCAAAATGAACCATAGGAATTAATGGTGATAAAAAGTCACAGAAGCCTGCTGTTTTTGTAAGTTACACCCTTTTTATGATTTTTTGAAGTCATGTTTACATTTCATTAACAGTTTTTTTTTTACAATAATTGGTTTAGATGTGATTTAACTTAAAAGAATGCATGAAAGTGAGCGTATGAGTGACATTGTGTTGTGATAACAACAGTTAACATTTCAAAGAGGTTTAAAGGCAAGAATGTGTGAAAGTTAGCAGCAACCTATGTATATGAGTGACATTGTGCTGTGTTAATAATGGCTCACATTTCCAACAGCTGTAAAGGCAAGAATGTGTGAAAGTTAGCAACAACCTATGTATATGAGTGACATTGTGCTGTGTTAATAATGGCTCACATTTCCAACAGCTGTAAAGGCAAGAATTTGTGAAAGTTAGCAGCAACCTATGTATATAAGTGACACTGTGCCATAATAATAATAATAGCACACATTTGAAACAGATAATATGTAAAAGTAAGCTTATCCTTATCATTGATTCTCAAGCAGAATGTACACTTGTTGTTTCAGTGAAGAAAGCCTCAGTATAGAAACCAAAATATTATCATTCAACAGGCAGCTGCAATCCATTACAGTTCTCATTAAAGTTGTATTGTAATATATCAAAATTACACTAATATTATTGTATATAATAATGCTGACAATGTAGCACCTTGAGGATCCCATGTATAAACTAATATATGAAATACACTTATTTTTATTATTATCTTATTTCCAGAGTGATGTCTTTTTTTCCACTTTTATTCATTGTGAACAATCACAAATTCATGTTCAATTACAAAATGTAACTCACCATAGACAAAGACGTTAATATCAGCAGAATCTTTTCCATATGGGTTCTCAGCCATGATTGTGTACGTGCCAGAATCACCACGCTGAGAGTGAGGGATAGTTAAAGTAATACTATCCTCTCCACTCTCAGTTTTGATTCTGTTTGTAGGAGTTATAGGCTTCTTATTAAATTTCCATGTGACAGTTGGGGCAGGAGCTCCCGTGAGGGGGATGTTGATATTTAGAGGATCACCAGCCTTTACACGGATAGTACGCCCATACAAGCCATCAAGATGAAGTTTTGGTTTTTCTAACAAGTAGAAATAACATAATAAAATTAAAAGTTGAGATGTAAATATCACAGAACAACAATTTTCTACTTCTGAATCAAAACTTAATTCAGCAGTTATGTTAAATTAGACTATAAAATAAAGAAAGTATCATGTAATAGCATATCTATAACATTGATGAATAAGTATTACTTGAATTACTAAGTCAAAAAGAACTACATCATAAATACAGTTCAGACTTCTAAAACTAGCATACAAGCTACAAAATATGGTTTATATATTCTAGTTGGAGAGGTATCCACTGAAATATGATACACGCAAGAGTGGGGATACTCTCCTTCTATAAGATTAAATCTCTACTTGCAAGCCTCATATGTGGAATGAAATTAGAAATTTAATTTCAAGTATAGAACAGATGTGGGTGCTTAAGCCTATAATGCCCCATCACCTGCAACCATTTATTGTTCTTATGAAACAGAAATAGCAATTAACAAACAAAATACATATTGTTTAATTATGGAAGGTAACTAAATGTGTCTTCTGAAGCAGTGAACACATCTTATGGACGTAAAAAACCTAAGATGGCTAAGATGATATGTACTTTTGACACATAACTAATCTAGGAATTTCACTCTAATTATAATAATGAAGTACCACACCCAACTTTTTTCTTTGATCAGTAGATTAATAAAATGCATTATCTGTTAAATGAGATATTGTAAATATTTATGCAAACTATGTAGTTTTCACATGATAAATATTCAAGGTTAGCTTAGTTCACATATAGTATTCAACAAAAACACAGATGTATATTGAAAACAGTTATAAGTATAATTAAATATTCATAAGGTCGATCCAATGGACTGACCCCATATTGGAGAAGTAGTGTTGAGTGTAATTCTGAACTTATGAAGAGTAACCTTATGAAACATAGTAAGCTTTTAGTTAACACTAAAAGTAAGTTGTACAGAACAGATAAGATGTGTTACTAAAGTTTTGGTGCTACAATTATGTCTGTGAAATACCAAAATCAGTCTGACTCAGACTCTGACAAGTAAGAGTGCAAGATGATGTTCATGTGTAGAATAAAAATACTTTAGTCCATCATTCAGTTTTCAAGTTACAATTTCATAGCCTCTACAATCTGCTTAATGCATATGTATAGTTTTTTCAAATCCCTGTATATTGTATCTACTCTAACACAAACTGTTGCAAAATTAGCAATGTAGGGTAACATTAAATGTTGATATTGAATAGCACTCTAAACAAGGTTGGGGTATGCACACTTTGACACCCAACCATTCACAATGGGTTAAATGAAATAACCTATAACATATTTAGTATGTTATGTAGAATGTGAGCTTATTTATACTACTTGTTTGCTTCATGCAATGCTACACAAGGGCTACCTGTACTAGCCATATATATAATCTTGAACAGACATACTAATAGGAATGCAGCTAACAAACAGGACCCACTGCCAATTCTTGGGCTACTGTAATCAGATAGTAGGATTTGGACCATCACTCTTTTAATACACCCACGGCCCCAAAGTATAGTGTGCAATTTTGTAGCAACAGGACGCAAACCATGGACTCTCACATTTATAGTCTGGAACATTAACCACTAAGCTGTGCCCAGCCTTTTTATATTACTGAGATTGTATTTAACTACATACTGGGAGGAGAATGCTACACTGTGCAACTGTGGTTAGTGAGTAAATTATTTAGCAGTACATATTAAACAAATCATCTTAGGTATTATTATAAGAACATGATACTTATGGAGACTGAAATTCCTACTTCAGAAGATAATTTTATCTTATTACCTACCTCAGTGGGCTACTTTTAATAACCTATTTGATGATGCATTCTGTTTACAAATTATTATTTCTGTTAGGTATTATTAAGTGCAAATAAACCTTTCCACAATTGATGCAAATGGTTTAGAACATTCACATCCACCAAACTGAGTCTACTTCAGTAGATACCTTTCCCTTGAGCATTGTTAATAAATGTTTGCATTCACCTATCTTGAAACAATACATAAAAAAGAAAAAAACCTTTGGTTGGTTTGGCAGCAATAGGCAAAGAGGCTTTGCTAGGCTCACTGGCTCCTGCTTTGTTGTTAGCAATTACTCTGTACTCATATTGATGACCATCCATGACACTATTGTCTGTGAACTCATTACCCTGTTCAAAACACAGATATTAATCAATATAACATTGTTATTTTGATCTCATCACATTGTTTATTGTACCATACACAGAACATATATTTATAACTATGATTCTATTGTCTGTAAACACATTATCTATTCAGAGTATTGTAAACTGCTCAGACATTAATAAATAACTGATTCTATTGTCTGTGGACATTTTATACTATTCAAAGCACTGTAAACAGTACAGATGTTAATAACTATGATTCCATCATCTGCAAAAACATTACCCTGCCCAGAGTAATGTAAATAGCACAGATATATTAATAACTGTTTATTCTGTTGTTTGTAAGCCCATTATTTCTTCTAAGTCATCTAAAAATACATTTGTTATTATAAAGTTCTCAGTTAACTCATTATACTGTTCCAAGTATCACAAGTAGTACAGACATTAAAAACTATAATCCTATAATAGTGTCTGCGAATCCACTACCCTGCAAAAACAGATACACAGTTCAAAGTATTGTACCAGATAATTAACAGCCATAATGATAGTTTTAAGTGAACTCAGTGTTTTCTGAAAAGAACCAAAAATAGTAAGGTTTCTTATCAAATAAACATAACACAGGTTATAATTGAATATACAATTGCAAATCAGATGTGGCATCTACATTAAGCAACAGTTTTCAAATGATACATGTACAGTTACACATTTCCTAAGAAAAAACTATATTTATATTACCGCTAAACTGCTAGAAATAGATGTTCCAACTTCATGAATATGTATTTCATAAAAGTATTGATATATATATATATATATATAGATAGTATTTCTCACAAATGAATATTCTACATTAAAT